AAAAAGGTCAAATAAGGCCTTATTTATGAGGTTCTGTCCGGCTTTCGCCATTTGGGGTGGTTCTCGGTGGAATTTTTTGATTAATTTTTTTGACCATCTTATTCATTAAGTCTAGTTTACTCATACCAAATTTCAGATAAAAATTTAATCGAGAAGGCATTCAAATGAATTCTTGAAGATAACTGCGCTTTTAACTGCGCAATTATCTTCAAGAATTCATTTGAATGGCTTCCCGATTGAAGTTTTAGCTTAAATTTGGTATGAGTAAACTAGACTTACTGAATAAGATGCTCAAAAAATTCCAGCGAGAACCAACTCAAATGGCGAAGGCCGGACAGAGTCTCATAAATAAGGCCTTATTTGACCTTTTTTGGTTAGTACGTGGCCTTATATTCCCCTTTTCCCAATTGATAACAGAAATTCAAATTAATCAAGGAGGAGGAGGGGGAGGAGGAGGAGGGGGAGGAGGGGGAGGGGGAGAGGGAGGGGGAGGGGGAGGAGGGGGAGGAGGAGGGGGGGGGGGGGGAGGAGGAGGGGGAGGAGGAGCCTCCCGGTGTAAACCGTCGCTGGAGTCCTATTGATCTTGACTCTTGTTTTTATATTGCCTTGGTGATTCGTAGTTAGTGGCTCACCTCCTGTAATTTTATTTTTTCTTCCACGGAACCGTCAACCGACCTCCTTCTTCACGACGTTTGTCATCTTCCGAGATTGCTTCTTCTTTGGGCAATATGCTCCAAGACCGATGCATACGACGGCAGACTTCAAGAGACCACAATAGCGGAGGATCTGCAATGAAGTCGGAGGGATCTGTGACATCGTTGAATTCCGTTTCACATGTGGATGGAGTTTTAGGGATTATGGAGATGAAGTGGTCTATGGAGAGATGAATAATAATTTACGGAAAACCTGACAACGAAAAAGAAAAAATTGTGGTATATAAGACCAAAACAAGGGTTAAATGCAAAAATAGGAATTCTTATGTTTTCTTCTCAATTTACTCATATTCTTAAACATACGAAAATAGTCATTCCAAATTTACCCCTGCAATCATTTAATCTTCTTTTTATCCCTGCAGTCATATAATCGATCGATTCCTTCTCTAGACCCAAAGTAAATCTGCCGATTCCACCGCATCTCATCATCTCCCCTTAGATCTGTCGATTCCATCGCACGACATCGACTTCTCCACCGCAAGTTGCCTTCCCTGCTCTGCCTGCGTCGCCTCTGCTTCGCTGCCTTCACCTCCACTTCGCTGCCTTTGCCCTCCACCATAGTTCTGTTTATCTTTCTATTCCTCTTCTTCTCCTTCTCCTCCTTCTCTTTGTCTCCTCCATGTATCTTCTTCTTCTTCCTCGATTTTTTTTGAAATGTTGTGTTTGTTCTCAAAATGTCATGAATGTGACAATTACAAATAGCCATCTTTAAAGAGAGAGTTTGCAATAAAAATGACATCATTTGAAAAACATGTCAAAAAACATGTCATTTCTAATTAAAATTAGTTATGTCATTCTTAGATAAGTCATAAAAATGACATAGAATGCCATAATAATGTCATTTTCTTATGGACATGACATTTTCATTTTGTCATTCTGATAAATATACTAGAGTGCCTATATGGTACATCCGGGTGTACGTACACCCGGCCCAATTAAGGGAGACAGCCCAGTAACTGATTCAGGCTAAAAGAAATTCGGTGGCATTTTTGTAATTTAAACGAAAACGGATGGTTTCCGCTAAATGAGCAATAATGTACTTTTAATGAGCATTTGACCTATTTTATTGAACATCTGCGAATTTAATGTAGTATAATAATTTTAAAATATGCATTATTGATATGACATTTTAAAATGAGCATATCATTACTACCAAATGAGCATACATAACTTACGAAATGAGTATCAAAAAATTTAAAAACACATTTTTGTGTGCTCATTCATTTTGGATGTTATACTCATTTGAATTTAACATAAAACTCATTTCATTTGTGTATTGATATGACATTTTAAAATGAGGATAAAACGAATATTAAATGAGCATACGTAACTTACACAATGAGATATAGAAAAACAAAACATCAATGCCAATTGAGCATATCTAACATACAAAATGAGCATTGATATGAAAATCGTAAGTTTTGTAAGCTGAACATCAAAACATTTTAATTGAGTATCAAATCTTCTCTTGCATTAATCAAATTTGAATATTTCAAGGTAATATTTATTCCGGGACACAAATAGTAATATTGAATAAGTCATATTAACTGTACCCAAATATGAAGTATGAAAGAATGAGACATGTGTGATCCATATTCACAACCTAATTAAATTAGCAAATTGAGGTGATGGTGGACCCCACTTCTTAAGCATGTCACGAGCTGGCAGCTCCGGAGCTCTCTATCATCACCAGCAAACACGTCTGCAACTAATCTCCAAAGGAGGAATGGCCTGAGAGAAGGAATCGGGACAGATGCGGATGATGGACAAGTTGATAATAATTTCAAAAATACCCGTATGTACGGAGAGGACCGTGCATCCGGGTGTACGGTGTAATTTGAGTCAGCCGCGTCTCCAGCCATCTCCACCGCCTTTTGGCTTATCTTGGCTAATTTCCATTGAATTATATGAAGAGAGGCACGCAGACAGCTATTTTATCTCTCACAATCCTCACCCCATTATAACAAATTCATCAACAATTTTATACTCCGACAACTCCGTAATACGCTATTCAAGACTTAAACTTTATTTTGTTAGTGTCGTAATGTTACATCAATAGACATTTATGTTAAACATTATGCTCATTCTAGTATATAAAAAACTTATTTCAATAGTTCATACGTAATAGTGTTCATATTAAAATGTTATGACAGTTTTAGTGAGAATCAAGTATATTATGTTGAACATTAGGAGCCTAACAATGAGCATCGTGATAACTGCTTCATATCTTTGAATTTCTTTTTCTTATTTTTTAATAAAAACTTATTAAATTATAACTCTTATGAATTTCAATATGTAAATCTAATGTAATATGATACTTTTGAAGCATTAATATGACATTTTAAAAATGAACATAACATCAATACCAAATGAGAATAGGTAACTTACAAAATGAGCATTACACCAATATCAAATGAGCATACATACTTATTAAATGAGCATCGAAAAATTCAAAAAGATCATTTGAAATCTCTAGTATGCTCAAATATTAAATGAGAATACATAACGTATGAAATGAGTATTGAAAATTTTAAAATGAGCATTACACCAATATGCATGGATATGACATTTTAAGTTGCCTAGCGTAATGCTGATTTTAAAATGAGCATTATACCAACATCAAATGAGTATTGATAATTTACAAAATGAGCATCGAAAAATTTAAAAAACTCATTTAAAATCTCGAGTATGCTCATATTAGTAGAACATAAAAAACAAAAATCTCGAGTATGCTCATATCAGTAGAACATAAAAAAGCACCAATTTCTTATTTTAGACCAACCAATTTTATTGTGCTTATTTTTTTAAAATTACAGCAATGCACATTTAACATAAATAATATGCTCATTCAATTTGGAAGTTATACTCATTTGAATTTAAAATAAAACTCATTTCTATTTGTGCTCAATATGTGCCCAATATTCATTTGTGTATTGATATGACATTTTAAAATGAGCATAAAATGAATATTAAATGAGCATGCGTAACTTACAAAATGAGATATAGAAAAACAAGATCGTAAGGAGGGAACTAGAAAAATAGAAAAAACGGCATATTGCTTAAAGACACATTGAGTCTGCGCACGAGAGCTTCTCTCACTGAGAAGGAAAATTTTCCAGCGGCCTTTTTTCCTCTTAGCTTGCTCGGACTCAGCTGCTCTCTTTTGGCTCTTTTGATCGATCTTTCTTCCTAAATCTTGTTTCTCCTAGCTCGGATTTTCCTCCTTTTTCTTTTCCATCGATTGGATTCAGAAGATTTGGGTTTTTTAGCTGGAAAACGACGGATTTCTGAAGATTTGTGCGCATCAATTTACTATTCACAGTTTTGATTTTTTGGTCTTTAATCCAAAATTTGACGGTTGTTGTTGGAATCAAAGAGTGTTGTGGGGGTCGCCACCTCTAGGCGCACCTCCCCAACCCTTTTCCGGTGGCCGGAGGTGCTGTTTGGCCGGAGTTAGCAAAGAGCCGTTGTGCGCACCACTGTTCAGAGCAGTCTGTTTTTTTGTTCGTACCTCCCAAACGACACGTTTAAATCAAATTCTGAGAGTTGTTCTGGACTCGTCTTGCTGAGGCGAAGCTTTTGACACCGATTTCGTCCAATTTGAGTAACTTTTCCTTTTTCCCCAATTTGAAGCGATACTCTTCGAGCGGAGAACAGGGCACGCTAGCGGACTCGGGCTCCATGAAAGAAGCAACGGAAGCCTAAATCATCAGACAGAGATGTTGATAATAATTTCAAAAATACCCAGATGTACGGTGAGGACCGTACATCCGGGTGTACGGTATAATTTGCGAATATACTACCACAAACATGATAGTTTTTTCAAATAACCAATAATTTTGACATTCTCAGATTATAAAAGTGACATTCTGCTGAATAAATAAAAATTCAAACTTAAAAAATACAAATTAATAAATAAAATTTGACTGAAAGTGGACTGAAAATTAATAACTCACAATAAAAATGAAACAGAGTACGAGCAGGAAGAAAATAGAAGAGAGGAGAAGAGAAGAGGAGAAAAGAAGAGAAGAGAAAAAGAAGAGGAGGAGAACTTACTTGGAAAAACTGTAGCAGGGCTTGAGATAGTAGGAGGGGCTCGCAAGTGGCGAACGGAAGAAGAGAGACACAAGGCAATTTTGGCATTCTACTGTTATTTTAGTCTTACGCTACTTCAGATAAAACTAATAGTCCTATAATTGAATTTTTCATATGTTTTAGTCTTATTTAGATAAATCTCTCGAGTAAAAAAGGTGGGACATGGGAGATGTCCTTTGGCCGTCATGAGATGCAAGGGCAAAAATGACTTCAATTTCAACATATACTTTTCCATTATTTTCAAGCTCCCGAACAATTTTGGAATCACAAACAAAGGGCAGGCCGGCAAGTGAGCCCGATTTCCTAAATCCTAGTGAGAACTGAGAAACGGATTGTAATCAAAGCTCAGAGTTTTCAACCCGACGGCCACCGCATACAAAGTTTTGTTTACATATTTACTAGTGAAAGTAAGAAAAACGAGAAAAAGGCGGATTAGTTTCGGATGAGATGTTGTTGACGAGAGCGTGGAAATGGTACCAGAACTGCTTGGCAGTGCATCCAGTGAAGACGCAGGTCATCAGCTCCGGCTTGATTTGGGGGTTGGGCGACATTTCTGCTCAATCCGTCACTCACTACGCTCCCCGCCACAATCTCCTTCCCTCCGTACGTCATCAATCATCCCTCTCTTTTTTTGTTTCCACTCTATTTAATCTTGATAACCTCTACGGGTCTGCTCGACAAATGCTATGTATAGAAAATCTTGATGAAACTATCAATGAAGTTTGCAAGGCAAGAAAATGTCAGAATAAAATAAAAACATTGGTTTCAACCCATCAAGTTAAATCGTTAATGTTTATTTGCTCAAGTTCATTTTCTCTTCTTCGCCTAGCATTTCCGGGATCCATACATAGCCCAACTGTTTTTTAATAAGTAATCATAAATAAATTAATATAAAAAATCATTGATTCTTGTTTATTTGCAATGTTTTTTTTTTCTTTCCTTTTTTGGCTTCTTTACCGCCATCTTTATGAATGGTGTGGCCTAGCTGGCATGCCTTTGTCTGCTTGAAAGAAATATGGACGTTGTTGAACAGCAAGCTTCTTGTTTGTAGGTTTATTAGGCTTACCCCTTTCACAATAGAGAATCTTTTGCCTTGGTTCTTTCTTGTGGTATTCAAAAGTTGGAGATTTGAAGAGGAGCGTCAAGGGCCCACACGTGGAATGTTTATAGTGTTGTGCATCTAGTACACTTAATGGCTAAGTTGTTTTGGGGGGGGGGGGGATTTGGGTGGGCAAGACTCTCTTTGTTTTGTTGATTTATTGCTTTGTTCTTACATTGAGATGATTGAAAATGAAGTGAAGATGAAAAATTATATAGCACACCATGATTTAATCAAACATTTTTTCCGTCTAAGACTAGCAAATTGAGCTAACCTAGTTAAAAAACCAACCCCAACCCCCCCCCCCCCCCCCCCAACCCCCAAATAACAAGCCCCTGTGCAGTAAACGTATGCCATCATGCATATCAGATGGTCAGTGCAGTGGTAATAACCTTCTACCTACATTGTTGTCTTAACTCTTTATATGCTTTGAAGCAAACATCAGAATGACATTATTCCCGCCCTTAAAAAAATTGTTCTGGAACTTGATTTTGTGCTATTCCTTAGCATTTATCATATGCACTTCAACATTACGAGTCTTCATCACCTTGCTCATTCAATACTGTAAATTGATGTACATAAACTATATAGGATGAAAAGAAAGAACTTGAGATAAACTGGAGAAGAGTTGCTACAACAAGCTTGTTTGGCTTTGCATTTGTTGGGCCAATTGGCCATTTCTGGTTAGTTATTTCTCTCATACTTGAAGATCCCATATATGCTAATTTTTATTCCAGATGAAAATATCTGTGCAGAGGGTGAGTTTTCATTTCCTTCTTTTCAAAGGATGGCATATATAATCAAATTGTTACTTTGTTACGATTGTTTTAACAAGTTTTAACTGATCAACTTTCTTTGTGCACTCACCTGACCATATCTTTTTACTTTCTGAATATTAAATTTTTTCAGTCTCCGTATAGTCTCCTCGTCACGCGCCTACCAAAACACCCTTCTCCTGTATCCTAGCTTGGGACAAGATAAAGAAAGTTGATCAGTTAAAGCTTGTTAATACATGCATAACAAAGATTGTATTAACATGTCAATTCATGTTATCCAACTTATTCCAACCCCTAACTTATGGGAAATTACCCAAAATAGGAGCAAATGACACTTGGAATTCTAAAAATAGGACCAATGTGTTTTTCTTCCCGAAATAGGAGTTATTACTTTCATGTATGAAAAATACTGCCATGATTGAAAAATACTGTCATTAATTATAATAAATACTGTCATGTTAAATGCATTGTACTGCAACTATTTGGCAGTCACGGCTACACGATGACAGTAAATATTGCCATGTTCGTCCTATTTCAGGAATAAAAACAAAGTAGTCCTATTTTGGAATTTCAAACTTCATTTACTCCTATTTTGGGAAATCTCCCCTAACTTATTCATGTCTCCTTATAGTCACCTACACGCAATGAGAATATGCCTTGAGCTAAGGAGCCCACTGAGCTTTTGAAAGTTTGCAGTGATGTCTTGGCAAGTTTATAACTAATGATGTCAGTTTTTAAATGACATAACATCAAATAGAATATAATTTCATGATAAAAATAGTTGCTTTTTCCTCCAAAGAAATAAGCGTTTTGCCACTTTTTCCTTCCACTATGATTTTGGCACAATAAGTGGAAGACTGAAAATGTCACTATGATAATAGTTGAGGACCAAAAATGTCACTTTTATGAAAGTCGAAGGATAAATTATGGAAAAATTTAAAGACGAGTACCAAAGTCGAATGGCTTTGAAAAAGTCGAGTACCAAAAGTGTCACTCACATTATAGTCGCAGGACTGATAGTGGCAAAAACTCAAAGAAATAACATGAAATGGAAGATATTTTTTATAAAAAAGGATTGTTTTGACCTATGAAAGTAATTGTATTGAGTCACTCTTTGTCGAGTCGTGTTCAATGAAGTTACATTTTTTTGTTGGGGGGGGGGGAGGGGGGGGGGGGAAGCCTGCAAGGTACAACTGTTGAAAGTCCTAAAAATCATACTTCTATTTATGAATAAAATTTATTTGTGGGTAAATTAACATATATCATATTTACCCGTTGTGAAACAAATTGATAACACTCTGTCAAGTCTCTGATATTTCAAAATGTGAACAACAGGTATGAAGGGTTGGATCGATATATGAGGTTCGGGCTCCAATACCAGCCCAAATCATTAAGATTTGTGGGCATGAAAGTAGCACTTGACGGGATAATTTTTGGGCCATTGGATTTGTTTGTGTTCTTCAGCTACATGGGCTTCGCAAGTGGAAAAAGCACCGCTCAAGTCAAGGAAGACGTGAAGAGGGACTTCCTCCCCGCCTTAATCCTGGAGGGAGGAATATGGCCAATCGTCCAGGTGGCCAACTTCCGGTTTGTTCCGGTCAGGTATCAACTCTTGTATGTCAACTTCTTCTGCTTGCTGGACAGCTGCTTTCTCTCATGGATTGAACAGCAGCAAGATGCTGCTTGGAAACAGTGGTTCACTTCCTTTCTGCAAAAAAAAGACGAAGGCCAAGATTTGTGATATTTATAAATACTAATCAGTTCCCACCACCACCACCCATTTGAGATTTGTGATCAATTTAGCAAGTTGGAGAAATTTGAAGAGATGACAGGAAGCATCACGGCTGGCATTTGTAGACAAAAGCAGAATCTTTAATGCTTTATACTAGTATTGTTTTTCTCTTGATGATCATGAAAATTTTGAAAAGCCAAAACCGGCGGGACACTTGTCTGGGAGGATGTAATTAAGGTTTGATCACATATCGATGGAGAGAGTGGTTCAAGTCTTTGCATGGAACTTTATTTGGACTATCTTCCTTTTGGCACCATCTTCCCAACCATGTTCCCATCAATTGAGCTACACCTCAGGATTGTTTTAGGTATATGACTTAATTAGAATAAAGACTTGATGGATTTAATCAGGCTAATGAGTTGATCATTCAATCATTTAGTCAATGTTTATTTACGATTGAATTGAAAGCATGACTTATTCATTTAGTAAAAAATTAGCTTGATCATTGAGTTGTAATAGATGTTTATTAAGGTCTTCTATTCAGCCAACCTTTTTAAATCGATCGTGGAATGGATGTATGTTAATAAATACTCCTTCCGTCCCATAAAATTTTTCTCACTTTCTTTTTTGGGTCGTCCCAAAAAAATTCCCACTTACCATTTTTGGACAATTTGTGTGGTTCACATTCATTTCACCTTTTTCTTACACAATCACAATAATACATTTCCACTTTATTCCACTTTCTTAATCTCCGTGCCAAGTCAAAGTGGGAAGAATTTTATGGGGAGAGGTAGTAACATTGTTCATTAACAATGTATTGCAATAATAATTTTAAATTGATTACTTTACTCAATGTGGTTTGTTTATTCAAAATATGAAGTAAACATCCTTCTCAACAAAATTGCTTAATCTAGACATAATTTAATCCAAATAGAACTGAATAGAAAAATGTAAGCGTCCCCTTTGGCCTCTTTCTTATTATCATGTACACAATTTGAAAAAAAAGGGGGATCAAGGTCAGATAGAGCCTCGAACTTACAAAAAAATGTCAAATAAGGTCAGTATGCTCTGTACGTTCGACGCCATTTGGGGTTGTTCTCGGTTAAATTTTTCGATGAATTTTTTTAGCAATCTTATATATTAAGTCTAGTTTACTCATATCAAATTTGAACTAATAATTCAATCGGGAAGGCATTCAAATGAATTCTTGAAAATAACTGCGCAGTTAAAAGCACAGTTATCTTCAAGAATTTATTTGAATGCCTTATCGATTGAATTTTTAGTTCAAATTTGGTATGACTAAACTAGACTTAATGAATAAGATTCTCAAAAAAAAATCATCAAAAAGTTTCAATGGGAACCGCCCCAAATGGCGTCGGCCGGAGAGATTATCTTATATAAGACCTTATTTAACATTTTTTTGTAAGCTCGAAGCCCTATCTGACTCTTATCCCAAAAAAAAATGATCAAATAAATTAATTGAGCAATCAGTTAAAATAAAAACATCTAATAAATTAAAAATAAAAATAAGAAAAACTCTTTTGCCATGGAGCTAGAGTAAATGACTACTTAGCTCTTACGTAAGCATTTACTCCAACTCCATGCTGTATTAATATGTTGCCAACTTAGTGCCATGTTTTAACATTTCATTAATACAAGATAAAGATTAAGACATCAAATTATTTCTACTGAGTTTAAGAAATAACAACAATAATGATAGTGCAATCATTCTTGTTACACCCACTCTTATGCCCACCTTATACCCATAATGTATGTGAATGTTTTCTTTTGTCTGTAAATCCGTTTCACAGACAAAATATGTCTTATTTTGTCTGTGCAAAATTTGCACATATATATTTTATTTGTGAACGAGATTCACAGACAAAAAAAAACTTTGCACAAACATGGAGGGTATAAAAGTGAGTATAATGGTGAGTACAAACAGTTTTTTCTATAATAGTAATAGTAGTAGTAATAATAATGATGATGGTGACGATGACGATGGCGGTGATGATGACAGTGACGATGAAGATGAAAATGATGATTATGATGATGATGATGATGATGATGATGATGATGATGATGATGATGATAATAATAATAATAATAGTAATAGTAATAATAATACTCACAGTCGCAGTCATCATCGTGGTGGTGGTGGTGGGGGTGGTGGTGAGAATAACAATAATAATAATAATACCATCAAAAAATAAATAATAACAGCAACAACAACAACAATAATAATAATAAGTGTCTACCTTGCCAATTCATGATGGAGGTCTGGGCATCTATTGTTTGCAAGACACTCTTTTATAACAATATCTAGCTTCTCACATTCAGACCAATGAGTTACAGGCTCAGATTCTTTGTCATTCTTCTTTTTCTAATTGTTTTCCACCTTTTCAGCAAGCTCAGATCACCTTTAACCTGGTTTGTGACCTTTCTGCTACCCAAGAGAATACTGTTATTGCCCCACACCCTATGAAAACCTTGGCTTTACAGTATTTTTCTTGTGTTATTAAGAATATGGCTTCCAAGTTTAGTATGAATAGCAGAGATCTTGCTCTTTGGGAGAGTAATAAGCTGAAACATGCTTTGGATTTCCTTCTTGCCATTCCAGCCGAAGGTTTAGGACAAACTATTAGTCCTAGACAGTTTACTGTTATTCTTGCTTATAGGTTAGGTATTCCTCTTTTTCAAGAGGGTGCTACTTGCTCCTGTTGTCTTGGTAGTATGGATGTCTGGGGGACCATGCTCTCCATTGCTCTAGTTTGATAGGCCCAAAATTTAGACACAATCTAGTTTGGGATACAGTTGTTGACATGTGTTTTCGAGCTCGAATTGCGCATAGAGTAGAGGCTCCTCTTGGGTTTCTTACACAACATGGTGGAGGTGCAAAACCAGTTTATATTCTCCTATATGGTTGGGATAGGCCGATAAGGGTGTTGATACATGCTTGGATGTCACTGTTGTTTCCCCTTTTGCAGGAGAAGTAGACCTTGAACACTTCAAACCCGGACTAGCACTTACCAGAGCCATAGAGAGGAAGCAGCATAAGTATAATGAGATTTGTAAAGCTAATGGTCATAGTTTTGGCACCTTAGGCTTCACTACTTTGGGAGAGATTGGTCTAGAGGCTGTTTTGTTTCTTAAACACGTTAAGAGTCATATTTCTAGACATGATTCTACCTTGAAAGTTGGTAATTTTCTTTTTATTAGGATAGGATTAGCTATTCAGAAAGGTGTTGGAGCTCAATTGGTTGCTAGGCTCCCTACTTGTCATTTGTAATCTTTCAACTTTTCTTATCCTAATAAAATGCCTTTCCATAATAATAATAATAATAATAGTAATAGTAATAGCGATAGCGATAGCGATACCAATAGCAATACCAATACCAATAGCAATAGCAATACCAATACCAATACCAATACCAATACCAATACCAATAACAATACCAATAACAATAACAATAACAATAACAATAACAATAACAATAACAATAACAATAACAATAATAATAATAATCCCTCTGTATCTATTTACTTGTCACGCTTTCCTTTTTGGTGTATCAAATTAATTGTCTCATTTCTTTTTTTGGAAAGAATCCCACTCAAAAAGCGGCTACAGTACCACTACAGTACCAAAAACCTCTTACTTTTTATAAAATCTACAGTAATTGTCTTAAACTCCGTGAAAAACAAACGGGTCATCTAATTAGATACAGAGGGAGTAATAATAATAATAATAATAATAATAATAATAATAATAATAATAATAATACCATCAAAAAATAATAACAATAATAATAATACCATCAAAATAATAATAATAATAATAATAATAATAATAATTATTATTATTATAATGATGACGACAACGACAACGACGACAACAACAACACAAACGCCGGCGGTGGCAGCTACTAATGTGGAGTAATGATAACAATAAATGAAAATACTAACAATCAATTAAATCCCATAGCACCAGCTACTCCATAGCAAAGTGCATGTATTTGATTTAAAGGCAGCCTCCCGAAATCCTTACACACACTTTTGCAATTTTGCGACTAAATTTCTTTAATTTATTCTGCCTCCCTCTCTGAAAAACGAAAGAGGGTATGTTTGCTTATAAAGAGGATACATATATAGAATGTGGCTGGGAAGGGAGGGCTCAACGGAACTTGGATAAGGTTGACTGGAACAATTCAAAGAAGGGCTGAGAGGTGGTCTGATCATCTGCTTTAATCTTTACTTGTGCTTTGGACGATGCTGAATTAGCTACAAGCTCCACCAAATAGGTGCACAGGTGGTCATCCTGGGCGAAGAAGAAGAACTTGAAGGTAGGGGCTTGACCTCCTGAAGCTATACAGTTTATTGAGTTTCCTTGCATGTGCTTTATTAGGGACTGTGGAGTTGTTAGTGCGGCCACTCCTTGCGAATTCATCGATATCTCCTGTCCAATTCACACATACAGAAAGACAAAATGACAAAAAACTCGTGTGATGTACAGGCGAAGGCTAATAAACAAAATCAAAGTTAAAAATTCAGTGTTTTATAATTTATGGATTCAAAATTGGGGCATTTCCGAGGACTTGTATTTTCAATTAAACTCTTTTCAATTTTTGAGTCAAAATTGTTCTCCTTTAAGAAAGTGAAATCAATGTGATTGATATTAGGAGAGAACAATATCAATCAAATAATCCTTTTCTGAAAGGGAGAGGAGAAAACTTAGCAAATATCAATCACTTTTGTTGATATCAAAACAGATCAATCCCAAAGTCCCTTTTTCAATATGAACCACATCCTACCATCAATAACTATTCTCATCCACACATAAGCTTTTAAACTCTTCCACTTTCTTCCCTCGTTTGAGCCAAATGAAAGCTGAAACCTAGGCCTAATGCGTAATGCATGCAAAGAAACCACCCATGACAGGACAAATGTGGTATATCATTCAAGCGGAGAAGGAAAACAAAACATAATCTGAACCTGTGATATTGATATTGGAAGCTGTCGCCATTTCTGCTGAAAAACATTTGGAGCCAAAGCAGCTTTAGGAGCAAGTGACACAGTGTGAGGCGAAAGAGGAGCAGGGCTTGCTATAGCCGGCAACCCTAAGCCTAGAAGGTCATCAATGGCAAAACTGGTAGAAGATGCACTAGCGGTGGATTTGTAATTGTAATCTAAGGAAACAAGATCCGTACGGGACTGTGTAGCATTTGTATTATATCCCGAACCATAGTTGTTGCAAGGTGTTTTGCTTTCTTTTATTTCTGAAGTACTTAGTAGTAAATCCTTTTCATTTGCATTCACTAACTCAGCTGAAGCCACTGAAGCCATATTATCAGTGGGCTCTTCTGCGGTAGACAAATGCTCAAGTTCTTCTGAGAAGGCAAATGGCCCTCTATGTTCCTTGTCAGTAAACATGTACGAGGGCTGCAAAGTTTTCTGTTGTTAGAACACTTCTAAAAAGTACTGTTATGATGTGCTTTTGTTGACGGTTATACTAAAAAGCAGTATAGCTTTGATAATATGAAGCCTGTTTAACAAGGGTGATTTAGCTCAAATGATTGAAAATTTGAAACTGCTAAATTTTT